ATATCTTTTCGAGTTTTGTTACAAGAATGCTCCAAAGCAGCTGCCATCGATGGGCTGACTTGTGCCCCCCTAAAATTTATCTCTTGGAAGTCCTAACCCCCAAGACCCCACTCAGACGTGACTGTTCGGAGACGGGGGTCCTTAAAGGGGTGATTGAGTCCGAGTGCAGTGGCAAGGATCCGGTGTCACTGCCGTCCTTGTAGGGCGAGGCGAGGTCACAGGCACGCACGGAGGGACGAATGGCCGAGCACGGGGAGAGGACGGTGTCTGCACGCCGGGAGGGACACTTCGGACGGGACCGGCCCTGCCAGCTGCTTCATCTTGGCCCTCCAGCCTGTGTAATTGTGGGAAATGAGTATCTGGTGTTTGAGCCACCGCCCCAGTGGGACCGCGTAACGGCGGCCGTGGCAGAGGGACCCGGCCCTTTCCCGGTCTGGGTTCCCCCTCCCGACTGCAGCGCACGGGACAGATTTGCATCTGGAGCCCGAGTCCCCGTGGGGACAGGTCCTCCGAGGGGTGTGCGTTCTTACCCATGTGGCCGCCTGGGCGCGCGGCCTGCATTTCTGCCCAACTGAGAACGGCTGAGATGAGGCTCTCACCGTGAGATGCGGGTAAAGCTGAAGTGTACAAAACAGACGTATTCTCATCAGAAATGACGAGTGAGTGTAAAACACGGGGAAATCAGCATAACTTTTCATGTGTTTTTAAAAAGTTTCTTAAAATATTAAAAATATAGTAACATTAAGAAAACATAGGGGTGGAGATGAGGAATGACTGTAGTGTTTATGATTGTATTTTTCTTATTGTTCTGGTGAGAAAGATACAACATAAGATGTAACCATTTCCAAGTGCACAGCTCAGCAGCCAAGCACACTCACACTGTCGTGCAGAGTGTGCCCCCACCATCTGTCTCCAGAACTTTCCATCTCCTCACACTGAGACTCTGTCCCATGAAGCACTGACTCCCCACCCCCGGCTCCCACCGTCTACCCTCTCTCTGTGGACGGGACGCCTCTGGGGACCCCCTGTGAGTGGGGTCACACAGGACGTGTCCTTCTGTGTCTGGCTTCTGTCACTGCACACCGTGTCCTCCGGCTCCGTCCACGTGGTGGCAGGTGGCAGGATGTCCTTCCTTTCTGAGGCTGGATCGTATTCGTGTGTGTGTGTGTGTGTGTGTGTGTGTGTGAGTGTGTAGACCATATTTTCCTTTCATGTCAGAGCAAGATGTGGGGAGAAGGGTCTCCCCAGGGCCTGAACCAGAGCAGGAGCAGGTGGGGACAGAGATGCCTTTGTCCTTCTCAGTAAAGGTCTGTGCATTTGTGATGTGTGGGGCCTTCTTTTTTTAAAAAAAAAATTTTTAATCTTTTTTTGTATACATTTATTTATTTTTGAGAGAGAGTGAGACAGAGCATGAGCGGGGGAGGAGCAGAGAGAGAGGGAGACACAGAATCCAAAGCAGGCTCCAGGCTCTGAGCTGTCAGCACAGAGCCCGATGTGGGGCTTGAACCCACGAACCACAAGATAAAGATCTGACTGAGCCCCCAGGTGCCCCTGGGTGGAGCCTTCTAATGCAGTGTTGCCCCATCAGAGTTTCCATGATGAAGGAAATGCTTTGTATCTGTGCTTCCAACGTGGTAGCCATAGCCACATGTGGCTCTCCAAACCCAAATTAAAATTAAACGACATTTGAGTTCCATTCCTTTGCCGCCTGAGCCGCATTGTAAGTGTGCAGGGGCCACAGTGTCCAGTGCTGGCATATTGGACAGCGCAGCTCTAAGATGTGGGCCTGTGTCGGGTCCCTCTGGCCCAAGCAGAAGGGCTATATGGGCCTAACAGTCAAAAATGAAGGAAGCACAAGTATTTGTATCAATCTGGGTTCCTTCCTGGCAGCCTGAGGGTCTGGGGTTGGAGTGGGGGCGCATGTGCCGGGTGAGATGTATACTGAGGACGTAGCCTTACACACAACGTAACATTGAAAAACAACAGTGTGTTGTGTGAAGACTCAATTTGGATGTGGTAAAAGCACAGAAACCATGGCCAGTGCCAGCAGGAAAGGGGATCTGATGGAGGGGGCTGAGATTTCAATATTTAAAGAAGCTCCGAAGCAAATGTGGCAAAATATGACCGCTTGTTACCTCTCCGCGCTGTGCGCTGTATTCCGTGTTTGAAAAGTCTCGGCACTGAGGGAATTCAGAGGGCTAGTCAGCCACCCGCTCGATCTGCTTTCTGACCAAGAAAGTCTGTAAGACAGTAAGAGGAGAAACAAATCTCATAAGGGGCCGACTTGAACCTACGTGTCCCTTGTGACAGGTGGGGCGCTCCTGCTTTCCTGGGATGAGAACACGTGCTGTTACAGATGTTGGGTTTTGACTTTGCTGTAGAGCTGCAGATTCCCGGCTTGGACAGTGGCGTTATTACACTGTCGCTGGAATGTCCAGGACACTGCCCCAGACTGAATCTAGAAGTGCCTGTAGATAGGAGCCGCAGGGGCCGCCCCCACCCGCCCTTTGCCACACACGTGCCCCCAGGGACTCGCGTAAACGCCTGCTCCGTGTCTGTATTTACCGAACACCTGCTGCATGCCAGACGCTCCTGCTATGCTGGGAGAGACCCCGCGGGGGAGGAGACCACCAGGGGACAGAGACGATCAGGCGGTACCAGGAAGAAAGCCCCAGCAGCGCGAGGGGACAGAGTACTGCTGCTGTGCTACACGGGCTCACGGAGGGCTTGTTGCACGAAGGTGACATCCGAGCAGCGACCTACAGGAGGGGATGGGGTGAGGGGGCTGTGAGAAGACCCCTCTGGCTGCCAGGATGCCAGTGAGGAGACGGCGCGTCCCGGCGGGGGTGACGTACCAGGTTCTGCCCGGCCTCCAGCTCCTGCGAGGAACCCACCCTGTGTGGTTGACGCCCAGCGTTCCTCTCAGCCTGGAGGGTGCTCCCCGTGTCATTCCAGCTGGGCAGCACGCCACTGCGGGGGACAGGAGCAGTCACTGTGTGCCTGGCTTTGGGCCAGAATGTGTGCGGAGGTAGCAGAGGCTCGAGAAGTGCTGACCGTAGTCCCTTTGTACTGGGGCCCACCTGCCCTGGAGTACGCACGCACGCGCGCACACGCACACGCCCACACCTTCCCTCATCCTCTGCAGGCTTTGCGGGAACTTTCTTCTGTGATCCACACTGGTGTCGGCTAAAACCTCTGCTGATGCCTTTCCCAGACGAATGGACTATTACCTTCGAGGACGACATTTAGCAGAATGGGAGCCCTTGGAGCACAAAGATCTGGGTCTGAATCAAGCACTTGACCTGTGCCACTGGTCCTCAGAGTTTCCTCACTCAGAAATGGGACAGATGGACACAGTGGCGCCTTCTCTGTGGCGGGAAGGCGGGGACGGGGCGGTGGAGACAGAGGCCTCAGTGCTGTGCTTCCTGCGGGGCAAGTGGCAGTGAAACCTGTTCTTGTGACTAAGAGTTTTTAGTCTCATGTTAACTGATCTTCTGTATTTTAATAATTGGGGGATCCGGGGCGCCTGGGTGGCTTAGTCGGTTAAGCGTCCGACTTTCGCTTAGGTCATGATCTCGCGGTTCGTGGGTTCGAGCCCCACGTCGGGCTCTGTGCTGACTGCCAGCTCAGAGCCTGGAGCCTATTTCAGAGTCTGTGACTCCCTCTCTCTCTGACCCTCCCCTGCTCATGCCGTCGCTCTCTCTCTCTCCTAAAAATAAATAAAAATATTAAAAAAAAAATAAAGAGAAAAGGGAAATCATTAGCCATGGGAGTAATGAAAACTGTAGGGCAAAAGTGAAAGTTCTGGTCCGAAAACAGGCTTGCTACAATTAAACTGATGGACATTTCTACCAAAAAGAATGAAATCCCAGGTGTCAAGCGCACGGAATACACCGCGGAGACCAGGTCTCGAAGGCAGAGCAGTGAGCGCGGTGAGCTTACGTGCTTTGGAGCTCAGCTCCTAGTCCCGCGGCAGAGCTCAGCTTCGTGAAAGATGAAGGAAGGGCTGCTGATCAGCTACCTTTACTAGGTCACAAAACCTTAGAAAAACTCACTTCTTTCAAGGCCTTTTCCCCAAAATGAAGATCAATTAAGTGTTTTTTCAAGTAACATAAGGGAAACAAACATTAAATTGCTTACATTTAATGATTTATCTTTTGAGTGTACAAAATGTGTAACATTTAGGGCAAAAAAGGGGGGAGGGGGAAAAACAAACATAATCATCGATACCGTAATTGGGTTAAAAAAAAAAAAAACCTGTCAGGGATAAGAATTTCCTTATAACATCTGTAAACTGATTTTTTCCATATCCTAATTCCATTAAGCAATATCAGGAAATCTGAAAAAATTTTTAGGAAAACCTTCTTTATAAAGCACAGAAGAGGGGCGCCTGGGTGGCTTCGTCGGTTAAGCGTCCGACTTTCGCTTAGGTCACGATCTCGCGGTTGGTGGGTTCGGGCCCCGCGTCAGGCTCTGTGCTGACTGCCCGCTCAGAGCCTGGAGCCTGTTTCAGTCTGTGATTCCCTCTCTCTCTGACCCTCCCCTGCTCACGCTGTCTCTCTCTCTCCTAGAAATAAATAAAAATATTAAAAAAAATTTTTTTTAAATAATTGGGGGATCCAGTTGCTCCTTGGTCACATAATACCGTTCAAGTCCAGCTTTCTCAGAAGACTGTCGACGTCCAGAAAAAGTTCGCTGAGAAGGTGACTAGTGGGCTCAGGTCCTGCCTCTGCCACTCCCTGGGGCTTGGTTTCCTCGCCTGTATAGCGGGGACAAGGAGGGTCCCCGACGCACAGAGGTGTTAGGACCTTGTGTTAATTCATGAAAAGTGCTTAAAGCCAAGCCTGTTCTCTTAGGAAGATTGTAACAAAGGTTAGTGTTTAGAGAAAGCCAGAATCCCTGTCGGGCTCCGGAGCAGCCAACGTCCAGGTCTGATGGGACTTGCGGGCCCCCACGAGGTGCCCTAGAACTCCATGTGATTCTTGTGTGTGTGCTTCCAGCACCCAGCCTCCGATGGCTTTTCCCGTCCCCGCCGCCGGAGCCAGCCTCGCCTCGGGACCCACTGCTGGAATGGGTCCCTCTGTGACCCCGACGTTTCCTGCGGTCGCCCAGCCCCCGGGGCCTGTCAGCACGGCGGGGTATGGCGGGTACCAGCCCTGCACCAGCCGCTGCCCAGACCCTGCCCCGGTGCCCGGCACGGCTCCCTCCTGCCAGGTACCGGCCTGACTGCCCTCTGACTAGCACCTCACCTTTGAAACCAGGGAGGATGTCACGTGGGAGCGTGCAGAGGGTGGCCCGGGTGGCCCGCACCAGCGGATGGGCTGGCGCACAGACTTCCCTGCCCTGCCCCTGTCCCTGCCTACGACAGTGGGCAGGGGACAAGCGTGAGCGCATCCTGCACCTCTGCTGTTGCTGCTGCCGCTGCCCTGACCCTGCGCTCTGGGCCTAGAGGTCTGGCTGCTGCATCTCCGCTCGCAGTTGCCGGCAGGTCCCCTGCCAGATGTGGCCCAAACCCCTGAGCCTTTGCCACCCGCTGCTTGTCCCCTCCAACATCAGTAAATAGTCCCACGGGCTGCCCTGCTGGCAAAGCTCGCTCTGTGTGGCTCCGCCCTCTTCCTCTGTCCCTTGCCTTTGCTTCCCCAAGGCCTCTGGGGCTTCTCCCTGCGGCCCAGCCCCCAGGGTCCACTCCTGACCCCTGCTTTTGGGCGCACCTGCCTGTGGTCTTGTTCCACCTGAATGCCCCCCAAGCCCCTGGTCCCACCTGTCACCCCGGCCCCTCTCCTGGTAGTGGCCACAGCGCTTCTGGTCCCCTGCTCTTACCGCATCTGATCTTCTGCAAGCGCACCAGCTGGCTCCACGTGGGGGCCTCTGCGTCCTGACCCCGCGGGGAACCTGTCCTCACGTCCTCCCGTGTGGTCCTCCCTGCACTCCTTCCCTGCGAGCTGCCTCAGGCTGGGCATTGCTCGCGGCACTTCTGCCCTCAGACGTTAACATTTGCACAAGAGTGGCCGCGTGCAGCTCGCTGGTCGCCGCGTCCCCGGCTCCTGGAGCGGCTTGTCAGAGTGGGAGCTTGGGAGCTGCGAACACGAGCCACGTGTGGGGCCGGCATGGGCACCCCTTGCCCTTGCGCTGAGGGCCCCTGTCCCTCCTCTGTGTCTTTTTGACGTAACCCCCTCGCAGGACAGTTACACCCGCGGACCAGCAACAGATGCCGGCAGCCACGAGAACAAGCAGGATCACCTGGCGGCTGCCGTCGAGCCCCAGCTCCGGGCCTCGGCCACCCCGCGCCAGCCAGGTGGGGCTCTGCGGGGGCCGCTGGCTTCACTGTGGCAGCAGCTGCCGCGGAGCCACATTTTAAACTTGCCCAATTCAGAGGAGGTCCAGGAGTCGTGTGACTGTCAGGGCTGCCTTCTCAAATATGCGCTGAAGGCTCAGCTAGGGCCTGGGCCTGTGGGAGAGGGGGCGGGCAGGAAAGAGAGGCAGAGAGAGAGAGAACTGGAGGGAGATCAGGAAGACGGTGGGTTCTGCCGAGGACTGGGACTTCAGAGATGGGAGGGGCCGGGGCTCTGGGCTCCAGCCGCAGCTTAGACTTCCAGGGGGCTCGTGGCCAGTAGCCCCTGGGCCATGTTGGTTCCAGGCAGCCAGGGAGGCAGCTGCCATGGTTATGGGGGGAGGTGGGGTGCCCACTGTCTGCTGGGGGCGGGCAAAGGGGTGGCTTTGCGGAGAGGTTCTGTCTGCCCTCAGGGACTAAAGGAACGCACGTCCAGCCCAGTGGTGGGCACAGCCGAGCGCAGCCCCTACAGCAGGCGGCCAGCGTCCTGGCCCTGAGCCACGCTGAGAACTGCAGCCACCTGCCGGCCACCAGCGCTCTGCCCGCGGCCTCTGCCTCCACCCTGCCTTCTGACACCCCGGCCTGCAGCCCCACGTCTGCCCCGGACGCGAGTAAGGCGCACTTCCAAGTGTGCACTGCTCCACCTGCCGCAGTGCCCGCAGCCAGCCGGTGCCCCAGCTCGTTTTTCTCTCTGCCTCCTAGGACCAAACGATCCACGCCGTGACCTGGCTGAGCCCTCGGCATCCAGCCCTCGCCGCCCCTCGCCGCTGCCCCCCCAGCAGCGCCCCCCACTCCCAAAGCCCATGGGCTCCCCGTGGCGTGGCCCCAGGGCCGGTTCTGCCCGCAGCCTCGCCGGGAAGCCCCCGACACCCAGACAGCCCCCGCTTCACTACTGTGACGTCTGCAGGATCAGCTGCCCCGGCCGCCAGGTCAGCTGCCCTCGGCCCCACTGAGCAGGCCCCGGGGACCGTCCTGGGGACCGTCCCGCCGCCTTGGGCAGCCAGACGTCAGGGGCGTCCTGCTCCGTGACCGGCCGCGGCGAGAGCGCAGCAGCATTGCCTTTCTGGCATGCTCGTGGAGGACATGGGCGAGCAGTGCTGACTGCTGGAGGCAGGGAGGCGGGCGGGGCAGGCAGGCCCCTTCCTCCAGGCAGCAGGGCTGGTCTGCCTTCGTCGCAGGGCTGCTTGAGCTGGGTGGCTGGTGGACGAGGGCAAGGGTGTGTGTGTGCATGCGTGTGCCGTTGCCTAAGAGGGAGGCCCCCAGCCCTGCTCACAGATCACCTGGCTGGTGCTCAGGAAAGGTCATCTGATGCTGGGGCTCCATCGTTACAGAGTTGTCTTCTGGATGTGGGGCTCGAACCTGAGCCGAAACCAAGAGTTGAACCCTTAACCGACTGAGCCCCCTGGGCGTCTCCTTGTTAATGCTCTGGGAGGCAGCTTGGGCGCGGTGGGATCACAGCTAGGGGGACACGTGGGGAGCCCCTGGAACCCCGCACCCAGGCCCCACTGACCCAGGCAGGCCAGGGCACCTTCGGGTCTCCTGCCATCATTCCAGGTTCTGTTCTTGATAGAAGCTTTCCTGTGCTTCCACGCTCATTGGTGGGAGGTTGGTTTTCTCTGCTTCTGTCTTCACTTCTCTGTGTGAGTTTTGTTCTACGTCATGGGGACCCGTGGTTCCTCTGACCAGGTGACTCCGAGCCTGTCTCCTCAGTGCGTCACCACTCGGCCCAGCATCTGGTGCGTGCAGTTGCCACAGAGACGTGACACTCATCATGCCCAGTGTCTTGGCTGGTGTTAAGCACTTTTTTTTTTTGGTTTATTTTTGTTTATTTTGAGACAGATATAGAGAGTGAGCGGGGAGGGGTAGAGAGAGAGAGAGAATCCCAAACAGGTTCTGCACTGCCAGCACAGAGCCCAATGTGGGGCTCGGTCCCACACACTGTGAGATCATGACCTGAGCCAAGACTGAGAGTCGGATGCTGAACGGACGGGGCCCCCAGGCGCCTAGCACTCTGTTTCTGCCTGTCCTCACCTGTACGTGTGCCTGCGTTGTGTTCAGTCACCTGCGCGGGCTCCCACATCCGCCACCACCATCGGGGCCCTGAGCGTCCCAGCCCTTCCCTGCCCCTCCCCCCGCCCGCACTCTGTCAGCTTGTGCGAGGGGCCCCGGCCTCCCGTGGACCCTGGGCGTCGGTCTAAGTGGCCCCTCCCCGTTGGGGCGGCCCAGGTGACTGTGCGCCCGGGGCACGGGGGCCTCTTCCCCGCACTCCTCCCTGCCGTGTCTCTTCCTGCCTCCCTTCACACATGAGACACGTTTGCAGCGGCTGCGCGGCCGCTGCAGACGTTTCCTCCTACTCTGAGCTTGGACCCCGTGTCCTGCTGGCTCTCTCATCCTTACACCTGCGGCGTCACTGCCTCCCCGTGTCGGGGGCGGGCCTGGGGCTCAGGGGGGCCGGGAACCCAGGAACTCACACTTACCGTCGCGATGAAGCTGGAGATCGGGCCCAGGCTGCGGGAAGCCGTGTGGCTCAACTAGGGTCGTGCGTGGGGACGGCAGGCCAGGGCTCCCACACTCGCTGCACACCACGGGGGCTGTCCTTCTCTGCTCCACAGGCTTTGACCGCGTGCGCACACGTGTGTGTGCGCACGTGCGCGTGCAGGCCCGCTGTTGCTTAGGTAAATGTTCACAGATTTCCTGTGTCCCAGAGAGTGAGCCTCCCGCCCCTGCCCCGCCTCCCACCTGCCCCAGAACCAGCCCGTGTGCGTCTTCCCGAGATCTCATCCCTGTAGGCCTACTGACTCTTGGTGTGGTCAGAGCGCGTGGGCTTGGGGGGCCACACTCGGGGTGTTGACTGCGCTGGCCTCATCCTGGGGACTCCCCGGGAGGGGTCTAGTCACTTGCCAGACACCATCAGATCCTTTGGGCTCAGTGGTGCTGCCCTCACAGGCCTGTGAGTCTGGGCAGCCCCTCGTGTGGGGACCCTCGGTGGCCGCGCTCCCACGAGGAAATGTGCCCCGTGCTGTTCCAGTCTCTTGCGTCCCTGAGTGCTTTCTGAGGTCAGATTCTGAACCGCCAGAATTTTGCTCCGAAGAACCTCCTGAGGCTTCATGTGTGTTTATGTGAGGACGTTTGCGCATCAATTTTTAGAGAAAGACTTTACGTTGTTCGGCCTGAGCTTCCGAGCTCGTTGACAGGGTTTAACGAAGTGGCTTCGAGGCCTGTGGGTTGGGGGGCAGGGGGCAGGCCCATGTCTCCCCTGCGAGTGAAGCGCGCACATGCCCCTCAGGCCTCTCTCCCTCTCTGCCCGCAGACCTACCTCGAGCACCTAGAAGGGCAGAAGCACAGGAAGAAGCAGGCGGCTCAGAACATGTGCACCTGGCCCGACAGCAGCGGGAGCGGGGCGCAGACACTGCTGCGCTGTGGCCTGTGCGCCGTGTCCTGCACTGGGGCAGACGCCTACGCCGCTCACCTCCGGGGGGCCAAGCACCGGAAGGTAGGGGTCCTCCCCGGCCCGGCTCGGTGGCCCCATGGCCTGGGTTCGCAGGGGGCAGCCGCCAGAGGCAGGGAGCTTCTCCTCAGGACCCAGGGGTCTCCCCGCTCCCCCTGCTGTCAGAGTCCCCCCCGCCCACAGGACGACAGCAGGGAGCAGCGCCTGGGCCTCATCCCCGGACCTCAGAGAGAACTGTTCCGGGTCTTAGGTGGTTTTACGTGTTTATAGAAACAAGCAGTTGTGTGTTGATGAGATCCAACTGCATGTTCCATCTGGGGTGCTGCTTTTTAAAGATAAATAGATCAAATTAAATTAATATGAAAATGTTAAGTTAAAAAATTGTTTTTAATGCTTAACTTCAAAAAAAAATTTTTTTAATGTTTATTTTTGAGGGAGAGAGACAGAGACAGAGCACAAGCAGGGGAGGGGCAGAGAGAGAAGGAGAATCCAAAACAGGCTTCAGGCTCTGAGCTGTCAACACAGAGCCTGACGTGGGGCTCGAACTCACGAACCGCGAGATCGTGAAGATCACGACCTGAGCCGAAGTCGGATGCTTAACCGACTGAGCCCCCAGGCGCCCCATGTTCATATTTAACATCAGCGTTTCCACGTGTCCTCTTACGGAGGGACTTGGCGGGAGGCCTGCCCTTCCCACGCTGCACAGCCAGCTTCCCGACAGCAGCCCCTTCCCGGATGGTGGTGGTTACCTGCGGGCCGACTGTTCCCAGGGCGCGTGCGCGGGGGGCGGGGGCGGGGGCCGGGGAACCAGGCTCGGGCTGCACAGTTACCAGGCAGGAGGGTCCGGAGAGCCCTCGCTGAGGCCCCGCGTGTGACCTCCCTCAGGTGCCCGGGCTCGCCGTGCTCCTGCCCTCCCCTGTGGCTGGCCCTCCCCCCTGCTCCTCCCCACGGGGCCTGTCTCCCCCCTCCACTCAGGGGCGTGTCTCCGGCCCAGCCGGGCAGGCTCTCAAAAGCCCGAGGGGGCCCACAAAGCCCACAAGGAAAGACCGGCCCGTGGGGGAGGGGAAGCAGGCCGGTGGAGGAAGTGGGGGAGGGAACACACAGGCCTGGCTGCGCAGGGGTGCAGGCGGGAGAGCTGGGGCCCCAGAGGGGGTGGGCTGTTCTGGGGGTCGGGGAGAGCCCGCAGCCAGCTCTGGGTGGGGGCGGCTCTGAGCTGTGAGCGTCAGACTCGGAGCCCGAGCACGGGTCTGAGGCGGTTGTCCGTGAAGACGCTGCAGGCGGCAGAACAGTCAGTCCTTCCAGTAAGTGCGGGTAATGGGGAGCCTGGGGGCCGGACGGGGTGTGACCAGATCCTGGGTGCGTCTGTGTCGGGGACGTGTCCACACATCCCTGAAGAAGGTGGAATGTACCCATGGATGTGGCCAGTCCTACATCTTAGCCGTGGCCTCTGGCCACACATCTGGCCACACAAGTGTCCCATCTGGGGTGGGCACGGGGCTGGCGCTCGGGTGCAGAAAACGGCCCTCTCAGCCCAAGTCCGTGCCATTCGGAGGAGGGGTGGGCATAGGCAGCACAGGGTGTTGGCCTGTTATGGGCCCCGCCTGCACAGGACTCATAGGGCCTGGAGGTAGGAAGGACCTTCTAGAAGGAATGGTGCTCGAGAGCCCAGGGCGTGTCACCGGGGGCTGGGGTGGGCCCAGCGCCTGGCCGCCCCCCAGGGTCCCAGCCCCGCACACCAGCACACCACCGAGGTGTCGTTCCTGCCTCCCGAGGAAGCCTGACGAGGCCGGAGGGGCCGACACGGGGCCTCGTCTGTTCCAGGTCTTCAGGCTGCACAGCAAGCTGGGGAAGCCCATCCCCGCCATCGAGCCTGTGCCGGGGAGCTCCCGCCTCACCGCGGACAGGCCCCCCACGGCCTCTGACGGCCCCAGCAAGCCAGCGCAGGCCAGGAGACCGGCGGCCCGGAAGGCCTCGAGCGTGGGTACATGTCTATGCGCCACGGCCAGCCACCCACGTCCTGACTCACGCCTCACGCTGGGATCTCAGGGAGGCGCTTGTCCAGTGAACTTGTGCGCATGCTCGCCCGTCTCTGGAGGGACCAGGCTCTGGAGGGAGGGCAGGGACGGGGAGAGGCAGGTGGCCTTCGGGCACCCTGGTGGCAGTGCCTCTCACACCCCAGTGCTGCGGTGGACAGAGCGGGCTCTGATGAGTTAGGTGGGTCCCGGGAAGTTAAGGGGGGCTCCTCCCTGTCCCGCCACAGCCCCGCCTCGCCTGGGTGGGGGCGCTCCCGCTGTGGCCTGCGCCATGGAGGCAGCCTGGTGGCACCCACTGAGCGGGTGACTAGGGTTGCGTGTGACGCACTCGCTCAGCTGACCGCTTCACCGCGTTGCCTGGTTCGCCCTCCATGACTCTCCAAAGTAGCTTTTGTCATGATCCCAGTTTGCAGAGGGAAACAGGTGAGGTGAGGCCCAGGCCCCAGCCCCGGGCCACCTCACATGGGGTGCAGGTATGATTCAGACCAGGTCAGGGCAGCAGGCTCTGCGCTCCCCACCCTGCTTCCCCGGAACCGTGGGGGAGGGGGCAGGACTCCCCTCACTGGGAGCCCCGGCAGCGCCCGGCTTGAGTGACCACGCGGTCCTGAAGTGTAACCACAGAGCGGTGCTAACAGACGGTCTCCCCTGTGGGACCCAGTGAATTTGCCCCCCGGGGCTGGGCTGACTGTGCCCCCAGGCCACCTGGAGCTCTGTCCTCCATCACCTGAGGGCTGCAGAGGTGGGGGGGCTCCTCCGCAGGGGGGGGGCTGTGACAAGGCCTCTCTGGATGCGTTCGGACACCCCCCCAACCCCGCATGGGCCTTGTTCCTCGCCTGTGACCCAGGCTGGCACGAAGGGGCCTTTTGGGACCTGGATCTGACTGACTGACGTCACGGGGGCGGGGGGTGACTGGGCAGCGGGACCTCGGTTTGTAGGTTGGTCCACCCTCCACACGGGCGGACCGGAAGCTGGCCCTGGTGTGCTGGAGCAGGTTGTAAGCAACACGCTTCTCCCTTCCAGGGCCCCACAAGCCACAGGCAGCGGGCAGCAGACCCCCAGAGGGGGCACACCTCGTATCAGATAGACCCTGGGAACCACCCACCCGAGGACGCCCTGCAGAAGCTTCTGGAAGCTGTGATGCGCAGCCCGTGGGCCCAGGCTATGTGGAGGAGGTAACTCTGCCAGGCGAGCGCCGTGCTGGGGCCATCGCTGTGCGCCCACCCCGTGGCTGGGCTGTGGCAAGGCGCCTGGGCGGGGCTCAGACTTCAGCCCTCACCCCGGTTCTCCACCTGCCGTGTACACGCCTGTCCACGGGCGGAGCCCATGAGAAGGCCCAGGCCCTGGGCTCCCCATCCTGAGACAGACGGCACGTCTTGCGCCTTTTCGCGCTGGGAGGAAGGCGGGAGGGGTCTGTGGCCCGCAGAGCCGCGCCCCAAGGCACGAGGTGCTCGGGCTTTAGGAGCCGGCGTGCGCCCTGCGTGCTGCGTGGCCGCCGTCTGTCCACCGGCCAGAGCCCGGCAGTAGCTCTGCAGGGCTGCCTCCAGCAGCCTTCTAGAACCAGATTCGGAAGCCGCCTCCCGCGGCCACTTCCATAGTCCCAGCCTCCCCTCCTCCCCCCCTCCTTCCTCCTCTGAGGCTGAAGGGAAGCAGGTTGATGTTTTTGTTTCACCAATTCAGCATCTTGTGTTTGGTCAGGAAAAATAACCCAGATAGATTGCTGCCTCCAGGAGGCCCTGTTGGGGGTGGTCGGGAGTGAGGTGGGGGGGCCCTGTGTGTGGGGGGCCTTTGGGGGGGGTGGGGAGGGAGTGAGGTGGGGGGCCCTGTGGTGGGTGGTGGGGAGGGAGTGAGGTGGGGGAGCCTGTGGGGAGGCAGTGAGGTGCAGAAAAGCCTGAAGAAGCACAGAGGGGGCCTGTGAGGGGCGGAAATCACCACACAGCAGAGGTTGGAGTCCTACACGACCGGCCCGGGCCGCGGGTACTGGCACCCAGGGTGGGGTGGGGGCGTGGGAGGAGGAGGGGGACAGGACCGTGGCAGAGGTGGCCGGGGGCCCCGGCGGGGGTGTTGGTGAAATGGCAGCTCCCCTGACACCCGCCCGGCAGCCGGGCAGCCAGCACGCAGGCCTGAGCACCCCCAGGAGGGCCGGGCACCTGGAGGTGACGGGAGGCGGCCCTGCCCAGAGACCCGACCGGATTGGGGCATTCCCAACTCAGCAGAGCCACGTGTCGCAGGTGTGTAATGACGAGTGTGTCGCAGGTGTGTAACGATGAGGGCAAGGTGATCCGCTTCCGTTGCCGGCTGTGTGAGTGCAGTTTCAACGACAGCACCGCCAGGGACTTGCACGTGAGGGGACGGCGGCACCGGCTCCAGTACAAGGTGCGAGGGGCTGGGGGGCCTCACCTGCCGGGCCCGTGCCCACCCTCTGTCCCCTGGGTCGGAGCTGTGGCGTCCAGACCTGCGTTTCCCGCTGCCGGGATGAATACCCAGAAGTGTTTCCCCGCAATGGCTGGTCTCTTGCTGAGCAACGTGTGGTGGGAAAACTGTGTCCGAGGGCTGCTGGGGGCGTCCCGGGGCACGCGGGGCACCCCTCTCCCCCCCAGGGCTGCTGGGGGCGTCCCGGGGCACGCGGGGCACCCCTCTCCCCCCAGGGCTGCTGGAGGGCATCTTGGGGCATGTGGGGCACCCTCTCTCCCCACCCCCGCATCTTTGTTCTCTTCTGGCCTCTGCCCAGGAGTGCAAGCTGGCATGCAGCTGTGACGAGCACAGGGCTGAGCAGGAGCCTGGGGGCCAGGAGGTCACGGCTGAGGGGCTGCTACTGACATGGGGGCATCAGGCCGTCGGGGCTGAGCCACATTTTCAGGGAGCCGGGCCTCCAAGGAGCCTGGGTGGCGGGTGCTGATGGCCTTCCAGCTCCAGCAGGGTCCTTGTTAGGGGCTCCACTCCCCACCCAAGGGGGTGGCTCTCTGGGTCCCTCAGCCCTGTGGGCTGCCTCCCTCTCAGGCGTGCAGGGCACCAGGCCTTGTCACATGCGCACGCCTGAGCGTGTTTACGCACAGCACACGTGGTAAACCACAGCTTCTGGGTAGTCAACATTTTTTAGCGGGTTTATTGAGGTGTCATTCACACGCTGCACAATTTACCCACGTGAGCATACGGGTTCGTGGCTTTTACTGCTGCATGGGCACGGAACTGTGGCCATCGCCTGTCTCTAATTCCAGAACACTCCGTCACCCTGAAATGAAGCCTTACCCCTATGAGCTGTCACCCCCACAGTCTCCCCCACAAGCCCCTTCCCGCCCGTGGAGGAGCCAGTTCTGGACGTTTCACACGTGGACTCACACCCTGTGTGGCCTCCCGTGTCTGGTTCCCTCCCTGAGCGTCGAGTGTTCGGGGTCCGTCCGCGGGGTGGCGGATGTGGGCGCCTCGCTCCTGTGCGCGATGGATTCAGTGTCTGCTCCTCCGTCAGTGGGCCTGTGGGCCGTTCCCACCCCACGCTCCTCAGACAGCGCTGCCCTTTCTGGACGAGGGAAGCGAGTGCTCAGCACAGAGTCCAGGAGGGAACCTAGGAGCTTCTGAAAATGCAGGTTGCCGGGCTTCACGCAAATGCCACCCGCCTGAGTCACGTTGATCAGAATCAGCATCTCGCGTTGGCTCTGCAGCGACTGGAGCGCTGTTGGCTCGCGGTGCGGCTCGCGGTGCCGCCCAGTGTCCTTCTTCCTCCCGCACGGAGCGACAGGCCGCAGGGGACCGTGAGGGCTCCCTGGGCTCCGGGCACTCGTCTAAAGGAGGCTCTCCCCTCTCACAGCCCTTCTTGCCCTTTCCAGAAAAAAGTGGACCCTGACCTTCCGATCGCCGTGGCGCCCAGCGCCAGAGCCCGGAAGCTCCTGGAGGACAGGCTGAGGGAGCAGAGGCGGCTGAGCAAGCGGCGGCTGGAGGAGGCGCGGCGCTGGCACGCTCAGATGAGGTGCGCGGGCCCTTGCCCGCCTCACCCGCCCTGACGCCCTCTGCTCCTTTCAGCCCCAGGCCCCGGGTGCCCACCCCTGCGAGGTGGGCCGGGGACGCCGCCCTTGGCAGAGACAGTCAGGATGAGGGTCTGCGTTCACATCCGTGATAAACGCAGGATGGCGCAGCCACAGCCGCCGCGGGGCAGGCACTCTGAGACGGGGATGCCCCGTGTCTCCATGAGCCCTGACCCCAGTGTCCCCTGACCTCCTGTGTCACTCTGATCTCAGTCCCCTTGACCTTCTGTGTCCTCCTGACCCCGGTGTTCTCTGACCTATGTCCCCCCTTGACCTCCTGTGTACCCCTGACCCAGGTGTCCCCTGATATTCTGCGTCTCCCTGATCTCTGGTCTGAACCTAAGTGTTCGTTATGTCCCCCTGAATCCTCATGTCCCCTGACCACCCACGCACTTGTCACATCCTCCCTCACCCTCTGGAGCAGGTTCAAAGCATTACTGATGTGGTGTCTGAATGTCGGAAGGCCCGGGCAGTGTCGATGCTGGGGAGCAAGACCCAGGACGGACCTGGGGCGGCAGCTGTCCCTTGTCCCGGCCTGTGCCCCTTGGACTGTGTCCTCCTGATCTGCCTGGCCTCAGTCTCCCTGACACATTTGGGCAGGACCCATGTTGTGGGCTCCCAGGGCCCCGTCAGGCTGCTGTGTCTGTCCCCGGGGGTCCTAGAGCCCCAGCCTCACCCAGCATCGTTCCAATGTGACAAGCCCAGGGGACCCTCAGCTGCTTAGAGCAATCTGTCCCTCCCTCCCCACAACAGGCAGTACGAGCTGTGCAGGAAGCGACTGGAGGAGGGGCCACAGGCCCCGGAAGAGGACCCTGGACCCTCGCCGCCTGACCAGCTCCCTCCTTCCATCATGGGCAGGCCGGGGGTGCCCACTGGCTCACCTCGGGTGGGTGGTGGCCTTGTCTTTGTGCCGAACACCTCCAGAGGGGGAGGCCCTGCGGGCGGGTGAGGTTCTCAGGCCCTCACTGCAAGGACCTGAATCCTCCAGGAGCGAGGAACATGACTTTGAAGCAGGACCCCCAAGGGGTGCCCAGGGGTGGGAGCTGGAGGGCTTGAGGGCCACAGCCCCATCACCAGTCACTGCCGGGGGTGGGGGGTTGCTGAGCTGGCTGCGAAGCCTGTGGCTCAAGTGTAAGACCGCTGCAAAGGGGAGCCCAGCGGCCCCACACCGTCCCAGCTCCTCTCTGGCTCACCGCCTTGGGGGGCCCCGACCCGCCAGGTGCCCGGGGCCCCTCAGCCCGCCTGTGACGCTCGCCCCTGTCCCCGCAGTCCACACGGCGGCCGGAGACCAGCGATGACCGGCACGTCATGTGGATGCACGCTGCCATCTACCCCACGGAGGAGGAGCTCCTGGCCGTCCAGAAGGCCGTCTCCCACGTGGAGCGCGCCCTCAAGCTGGTGTCGGATGTGCTGGCCGAGGAGGGCTCTGGAAGCCCGGAGCGGGAAGGCGGGGAGTGCAGGTAGCGGAGGCTACGCTCTGTTCCCAGGGCCCAGGGGTGGCCTCACGCCATTCTGGACAGAACATGGCAGGCAGGAGGGCAGCGCAGGCCTCACCCTGGATGGCCTTTGAGCTCTCCGCGGTCCCTGGGGCTTTCCGGCCTTGGGCAGAAAATTCCCCAGACTGACGTTTCCTATGGAAGGTACTCCTAGAATGCCCTTCACAAAGGGTTAATGGCGTCTGTTTGCTCATCTGCAAAACGGAGATAAGCGTGATTCACAGGGAGACGAGGGCCTCCAGTGGGAGATGCAGCAGCGCCCCGTGAATCACTGCGAATCCTTCCCGTGACTGTTGGGGCCGGAAAGCCCCTCTGCCTGCAGTGGGAGAGGAAGGCGGCCTTTCCTCTCTTCTCTCCCTGCAGGGTCGTTTCCCTGACAGTAGAATACATCCCGGAATTTGCCGCCTGAATTCTCATGGGTCCGATTTGGCGACACAGAGGACGTTCACCACCTTCTATTTCCAAAACTGCTCCCCTCCCTGCCCCCAACCAGAAATCTGTCCCTGGTAAATTCCCGAGTCCCGGTGCTGTGTCCTTCTTGTCCCCTGGCTCAGTCTGATCTGGGCATCGAGTGGAAGAGGAGCCCTGTGGCGTTTGCCCTTTTGGGGCCTGGTTGTTACCAGTGGCTGTGCCCTCAGGAAGCACACGGTGCTATCTGTGGGCGACTTCCGAAGGCTCAGCCCTGGGCTCAGACCTGAGACCTCCCCTAGGACAGCGACGGGGGCAAAGGGGCGCCCTTCTGCCTCTGCGGGGGTGCCCTCGCAGAGACGGCCGGGCCAGGGCTCACTCTCCCCAGGGTGAGGCTTGCCCGCAGCCCTCCTCTTCCACTCGTAACGCTTACGGTGCGCCGTGTGTTCTGTCCTTCGGCTAGCTTTCAAACCTCGGAAATGCATTCTTTACATGGATCGTGGTGAGCTGCCTGTGGCTATTCCCTTATTCACTGTTGCAGAGGGCACGCTAGGTTGGGGTGTTTGTCTCGCACTGTGGAGGCCCCGCAGTGTGCACAAAAGTTGAAGGAATGGCGAGTCCCGGATGAGTGCCAGGGGCCGTGCCCAAGCCCTGGTGTCCACACCAGGCCTCTCGGTCTCTTGGAAGGAAGCCCTGTGAGACTCCGCGCCCTCTAGGACTTCAGCAGCTCTCCCTAAACAGCAAGGACTCTTGATTTAACAAAACCACAATACGATTATACCTTTTTTTAAAATTTTTTTAATGTTTTATTTATTTCTGAGAGAGAGAGAGAGACAGCATGATCAGGGGAGGGTGAGAGAGAGAGGGAGCCACAGAATCCAAAGCAGCTCCAGGCTCTGAGCTGTCAGCAGAGCCGAACGCGGGGCTCAAACCCATGAACCCTGAGATCATGACCTGAGCCGAAGTCAGACGGTTAACTGAGCCACCCAGGCTCCCCTACATGATTGTACTTTAAGTCACCCTTTAACATTGTCAAGTAAGCAGGGTCGAAATTTCCCTTTGTCCCACAGAGGTCAGGATGTGGGTCGTTCCGTTTTACAGTGTGTGTGGATTGGGATCGAACTTGATTAACAGACCTCTGCATCTCTTTGTCTCCACGCACCCCACCCCCTGCTATTCTCTCCCCTCCCCCGCTCTCTGCCCTCTGTTCCCGTGGGAGCTGGGTCTGTGGAGTCTGGTTCTGGCCCCCAGTCATGCAGCCATCTCCGGCTGGATTCAGCTGGTGGCCTCCTGGGCCTGGGCCTCTCAGGTCACATTGGGCTCTAGGATGCTGTGGTCCAGAAACCAAGAAGTACGTAAATGGATTTGAATAGATCAGCGCCCCTCCTATCCCGGGAGGTGTCACAAAACAAACAGTGGCAGCTCTCGGAGCCTGGGGTGGACTCTGCGTAGAGATCTGCGGAGGGAGAGGCCCAGGGGGCCCCGCCAGGGAAGCGGCCTCGTGGCTGGGACACAGGGACCGAGGGTGGCATGTGGGAGAGGATGGCGGCTGCGGGTCAGAGGGGTGGCACCAGGAGGGGCGTGTTGGGGCAGAGTCCATCGTCAGGTTCACACTGCGCAAAGCTGGCCTGAGCTTCAGGGGGTTGCTCGGGGAGTCGGGAGGCCGCGGGGCCTGAGGGCAGAGGGCAGATGCCTGGCTGAGCACCCGGCTGGGCCTCCTCCCAAGGAGCTGAGGTGGGGCACTGTGGCCCCGGAGACGCCCGAGGAGCACAGAGCCAGGGGCCACAGGGATGGCCATGGGTGGCCGTTTTTCACAACGCAGAGATCGGCAAGTAGTGACAAGTCCCACCCTTACTGAGCACGCGCAGTTGGCCATTCTTGTTCCAAGGCGCACATGCCCATTTCACAGATAGGGAAGCTGAAGCAGAGGCCCAGCAAGACACCCGAGGGTGCAGGAGCGGGAACCCCGGCAGCACCCCCTTCTCTAGACCCTCTCCCCTGCAGGCCTCACGCGTTTTTGGCCTTGTCTCCACAGCAGCAGCGCCCGCACGGCTCGGGTCCTGAAGGGCGTGATGCGGGTCGGCCTCCTGGCAAAAGGCCTCCTCCTGCGGGGGGACAGGACGGTGCAGCTGACCCTGCTGTGCTCGCAGAAGCCCACCCACGCCTTGCTGCGGAGGATCTCGGGGCAGCTGCCCCAGCAGCTCCCGGTAAGAGCCCGGCCTCCGTGCAGGGCATGTGCGTGGCTGTCAGACACAGACCAGGTTGTTTTTGTACAAAAGTTGGTAAGAGGAGGAACTTCGGGGCTCCTTTGTAAAGCGAGCTCAGAGTCAAACTCAGAAAGGATGTCGACGTCCCGTTCCTGAGGATGCTGACTTACCAGCCACCATAGAGATAGCGGCACCGAAGCCTGCACAGGACCCTCCCCCTTCACTAGGGAGACCAGGGGCCGCAGACCCACGTGAAAACCCATTTGGGGACGGCGGCAGGTGGCCTGGGCCCCTCCCCTGGCCGGTCTGGGACTTTCTCACCCGCAGCAGTAATTGGGGAAGGGCTGAGAGCACGTCGTGATTTAAATGGGTCATCTCAGGTTAAAACCTCAGTTCCTGGGATGGAGGAGGGTCTCCTTCCTGGTGTGTCTGTCTCTGTTCCCCGGACAGTCCCGCACTGGGGACCGTCCTCTGGGGCCCCCACTCTGGTCAGGAGGTGATGAACATACACAAGATCAAGCTAATTTCCCGTGTGTTGTCTGTCCCACGTGAAGTCTGATGCCAAGGAGGCAGCACTGGCGGGGGGGAGGGGGCTTGAAATATGGGGAAGTGGTGTTACACGTAGAAGGACCTGCATGTGCAGCGGCCACGAGGCAGGAGGCCTGGGGGAGGCGTGAGCCTGAGCACATGGGGGCCTGGGTCACCTGAAGGCCACGCAAGCAGGAAGCCTGGGATCTCAGGGAAGTGGGAAGACAGGAGGGTTCTGAGCACAGGAGTGGCGTGCCGCCACTTGGTTGATTAAACACTCGTTTCTTTCACACCCATGACACGGTAGTGTCCTGCTAACTACTGTAGGGATGAAGGGTGCCTGCAAAGACCGCCCAGGCTGTCAGTGAACCGGCAGCGCCCCCACCCCAGCTGTGTGGACGGGGCTGCAGGGGCCGCCCCGGCAGGAGGCCCCGAGCAGGACTGGATAGTGGGCAGGAGGAAGGTGCATTTCAAGGCCAAGACTGGCCTCAGGGCACCTGCAGACGGGGGGTGGGGTGGGGTGGTGATGACTGTGGGTGCTGGGCGCACATCTCTGTGCTGAAGGCCCCAGGCACCCCGAGGTGGGCCTTGGGCTCTCTGATCCCCACACAGAGATGTGAAGCACAGAAGTCCAGTGAGCTGATGGGGAGGCCTCTGAACCCACAGTCTGACTCGGGCGCCCCCAGCCAGCCAGGTGCAGAAAGGTAATGCAGCCGGGGTGCGGGGGCCTGTGCAGGGGTGCAGGGACAGCTGCCTGTAGCTCCATGCCAGCTCAGGGGCACACTGGCCGAATGTCTCAGAGAGCTCGGAACAAGGCAAGAGACACAGAAAGGCCTCTCTGGGCATTGGGCACTGCACCAAAGCCACCTGGGTGGTGTCGTCTCCCCTGAGGCTCTGCTAGTAAGGGTGACCCGCTCAGGGTGTCCACCATGTGCCTGAGCCTCTGTGGAGGGCGGGTCCTGCCTGGAGGTGGCAGCTGTCCAGGGTCCTGAGAAAGCATCCTTCTCCCCCAGGATGCCCAAGAGGTAGTGGGTTAGACCCGCTAAAGGATCTTGCTGTTTTCACTTAGCGGTGCCTCCTTGTGGGTCAGATCCCTTATGCACACTTAAGGAGCATCACTGTGTGCTGTGGCTGTTGAATCCTTCACTGTGGTGCGTCCGTACCTGGGTCTTTCCATGCCGTTGGACATCCAGCTTGTTGCCAGCATGCCGCGTAACCAGCGGGAAGGTGACCTTGTGCACACGTGAGAGCTTGTCTCGGGCAGAATTGCTGGTTGAAGCCTTGAGGCCAGGTGCTTCTGGTAGATGTTGCCAGGCCAGCCCCACCAGCTGTTTATACAGGGGGTTGCCAGCCCGGCTCACCTCCGACTTCTTGAGGTTTGTCCTCAGAGATGATGCTGGTGCCTCACTGCAGTTTTAATTTGCTTTTCTCTTACTGTAGGAGTAACCTGTGTCGTCGTGGAAAAGGGTCTTTCCTGTTTCTTTTCTGCAAACTGCCTGTTAACATCACTCACCGGTGTCGTGGGTTTTTTAAATTAGATTTTTGTTGTTGTTGAACTGTGGGCATTCTTTACATGTGAAGGCACTATAGGCAGGGTCTGTCTTCTGTATGCATTTCTCCGCGTGTGTGCTCCTGGAAGGCGGGAGCCATGTCTCGCTCCACGGGAGGTTATGGGCGCCCAGTACGGGGCCTGGCGCTCGGCCGCACCCCTGCCTGTTCACACCTGCTTCTCAGCTGCACTAACATGGGCTTGTGTTGCGTTTGTACCTCGCAGTTTGTGACAGAAGACAAGTACGAGGTGTCCTCTGACCCCGAAACCGACATCATCATCTCCTCCTGCGAGGAGCCCAGGATGAGGATCACTGTGTCCATCACCTCGCCCCTGATGCGGGAGGACCCTTCCACAGACCAAGGTGTGGCCAGGCCCTTCCGTGCAGCCCCACTCCCCATGCTCCCTGCTGGCCGAGCGCAGCATCTGCCTCTGCTCTGGGTGGGGAGGGGGCCACGGCCACCGGCCTTCAGGCACTGCTGTTAGTCCAGAGTGCCACTGGCAGATAGGAACTGGGCCTTGGGGCAGCAGAGGAAACAAGGTGGTGACAGTCAGATGGGCTCTGAGCCCGGGCCGCGGTGTGCCCCAGGGCACCGGCCTCCTCCCCTCGCCTCCAGGCCTGCACGGACACCTCCCTGCCCCGGGGAGACCAGCCGGGTCCCCAGGACCTCAGTTGATTCTGTGAAGCAGGGGCCACAGCCAACCCCGAGTCCCAAGTCCTCTCATGTGGGACATGGGGGCTCTGGGGACCTGAGGCAGGTTGGCCGAGAGAGTGGAAAGGGCACAGGGCCAGGCCAGGGGCCAGCAAGGGCCCCGAGTCACTGCCGCACAATGAAGGCCAGCCGCCAGGAACGCGCCATGGGCCTACTGAGCCACGGAACCTCGTGGAGCAGTCCCTGGACTGGTTTCCAAACTCCGGCCATTCTTAAACCCCCTTTGTGATTGTTTCGTCGTAGCAGAGGGCCACGAACTCCTAACCTTCTTCCTTGAACATTTTAAAAAAATGTTTATCTTTCACACACACACACACACACACACACACACACACACACTGTGTGAGCAGGAGAGGGGCAGAGAGAGAGGGAGACAGGACCTGAAGCAGCTCCAGACTTCGAGCTGTCAGCACAGAGCCCGACGGGGGGCTGGAATTCACGAACCATGAGATCATGACCCAAGCTGAAGTCAGATGCTTACCCGACTGAGCCACCCAGGCGCCCCCTCCCCAATGTTCTTCTTTAAATCAATTCATTTTTTAACACTTAAATTTTGGGGAGCAGAACCCTTGAGCCATTGGCGGGAACCACCACCAGTTGCCAGAGCCCTCTAAGAAGTACACACAGCAAGGCGGAAACGTCATGAAGTCCTGGCTGTGGGCCCCACTAGGGTTTGCCCAAATGCAAACAAGGGCAGCCTGGGAGCGTCAGACAGTGTGCGCGGTCCGAGGCCAGGAGGCAGAGGCCATCCGTGTCCCCCACAAGGGTGTCCAGGCCCCAGGCTGGCCATCACCAGAGGGCGACACCAGAGGCGAAGTCCTCACCTCACCTCACCTCACCACACCCTGGACTGTTCCACCGCAGCATGAAGCAGTGGCTGGCCTGTGACCCACCATGGGGACACTGATGCACAAGTGAAGCTGTGTCCCATCACCTGACCTCTGTGACCTGGGGCTTCCCGGGGTGAGGAGAGGACAGCGTGAGGCAGAGGACAGACAGCAGGGAAAGGCTCCTGAGTTTCTCCCAGACGCGGGGCCTTCGCTGTCGAGGATGATGCCTGTTCCCGTCCAGCCTGCTCTCTCCCTTGCTGCGATGCACATGGAAGTGTCTGGAAATCTGGCCTACTTCATAGTTTTCCACCTGAACTGTGACTTGCTAACTGAGGGCGCTGGCACTGAGGGCGCTCGGGAACCAGCTCTGCACTCTGTCTTCCTGGGGACGCTCCACAGAGGGAGAGCCTTCACAGAAGTGACCTCTCTGGAGGAGAGGCGGCCTGGAGCCCTGGGCCTTCCAGATAACAGGATGGTGCCCAGGAGGGGGCGGGCCGCCTGGCCTGGGGAGGCGAGGGGGGTGAGGGGCTCCGTGCCCACATGCCCTTTCCTTCTAGAAGGAAGACAGGTGCCTCAGCCTGACCCGGAAGACGTCCTGAGCCCAGAGAAGTGCCTCCAGTCACTGGCCGCCCTCCGCCGCGCCAAGTGGTTCCAGGTCAGGGGGCTGGAGGGGGTCCGCCGTGATCTGTCCCGCCGCTCGGGAGTGGGCTCTGAATACAGTTTGGGGGACGTCCCCCACGTCTCCTTGCCAAGCACTGACTCAACGGGGTTTCCTCCTGACACTTATCAGAAACATGGAGGGGGTGACCTGGACTGCTCTGGGGGTGGGGGTGCCGCCACCTGATGGCGGGCGCCGGAGGCTCCGAATGGGCCTGAGCAGTGGGCCTGTGCCACCCCAGTCCCTCCTGGCCAGGCTCACTGCCCAAGGGTCAGCCGTTGTCCCGGAGGCCGTGGGTACGTGGCTCCCTGAGCTAACGCCGCACTTCTTCCCGCACAGGCTCGAGCCAGTGGCCTACAGCCATGCGTGATCATCCTCAGGGTCCTTCGTGACCTGTGCCAGCATGTGCCCACCTGGGGGGCCCTGCCGGCCTGGGTAAGGCAGCAACAGGTGGCCGGCCCCGCCCCGGGAAGCCCCCCGAGGGCCTCCACAGCCTTGACGGGTCTCATTTGCTCTGAGACAGATGTCCCCCCTCCCAGTGCTGGCCTTTCCAAAAACAGGCCCGGCTGAGCCTGAGCAGCCGGGAAGTATAGATGGGGAGGGGGTGGCCCAGGGGTGCGTCGGGGCCAGGAAGAGGCCTGCGGAGGAGCAGAGCCTCGCGCCACTGCCGTTATCTTAAACCCACAGCCGCACAGACAGAACCAGGGAGCACACAAAGGCAAGGGTGCCCGGGACACTGGCCCCGGGGCCGCCTGGCACGCGCCCTCTCTCCTCTGAAGGGGAGCCTCCCACATCTCTGACACCCCCTGGCAGTCAGCCTGGAGCCCTGCGGGGAAGAGGGGAGAAGACAGAGGCAGGGGCACCCGTGCCCCTAAGCCCTCCGTGGCTGTGTTGTGTCCGTGCCCGTTTTCACGTCTGAGTCCATCTCGTTTACTTTGGGAGACATGTGATTTCCGCGTGCAGTTCTGCCAGCCTCTCCCCACAAAGCCGTGCTCTTGGACAAGTGGACCCTTCCCACCCCAGCCCTGCCACCCTTGGCCTCATCACCCACAGGGATGTCTCCCAGACAAAGGGCTCTCCCTGCCCAGTGTCCAGAGGAGACGCTGCTCTCTGCGCCACCCCCTTTGGGACACGTGAGTCCGTTCGGGCGCCAAGAGAGCCCCGCATTCCCCAGGAGCCTGTCTCCCGTAAATCCAGAAGCATCCCCAGGAGAGCACATTTGTCCTGGTCCAGCCCCCAGAGCCCCCTCCCTGCAGGCAGGGTGGCTCCCCGGGGAGGGGCACGCCTCAACAGGTCAGTGGGTCGTCCGAGCCTTGCTAAATGCATGAGGGTCACAGAGAGCAGTTCTTTGAACCCTCATGACACTGGTTTGCGGTGTTACTGCGCCTGGGGTTTGCTGGTGGAGAATTGGGAGGTGTAGACGATGCAGAGACCTGCCGGCAGCCGTGCCCTGGGAGGCGCAGACGAGACCCCAGGATCACCCTCCTCTCCAGAAATCGAGGATAGGCAGGGGTGAGGGGCAGCAGGGAGGGGCCTCGGCCCAGGCTCTGCTGGAGACCCTGTGCGCTGCGGCAGCGTCCGGGTGGGAGGCCAGCTGGCCCGAGTGCTGTCCTCTGAGGCACGACGTCTTCTTTTCTGTCCCCACGGGGTCCAGGCCATGGAGCTGCTGGTGGAGAAGGCCCTGAGCAGCGCAAAGGGGCCCCTGAGCCCCGGGGGTGGCCTGAGGCGTGTCCTGGAGTGTGTAGCCTCAGGGATGCTCCTGGCAGGTCAGTCCGGAGGCTGGGGAGCCCAGGCGCACGCAGGGGTGTGGCTGGTGCGCACGTGGGGGCGGTGGGCGGGCCCTGCGTGGGACCCGCCCCGGCCGCTGCGTGCCCCCAGCCGCTGTGGTGGTCTCTTCACCCGGGTACTCTGTCCTTTGCTGCCCCCATCTCTCCTCGCCAAGACGGGCCTGGGCTCCAGGATCCTTGCGAGAGAGACCAGACGGATGCCCTCGGGCCCATGACCCCCCAGCAGCGCGAGGACATCACGGCCAGTGCCCAGGTAGGCCAGCCCGTGTGGCGCGCGTGGCTCCGAGTGGGCCAACTCCCACAGGCCGGGCGTGGCACCCAGGTCCCTGCCGCCTGCGGCCGCGCAGTGGACCCGGAAACGGTGTGGGGCTCCCCTCCCCCTCTCCTTCCCTTTGTGGAGACAGGTGGCCTGTGGGAGGGTGGCCTGTGGGTGACAGGGGCAGGGCCAGCCTGGCTCAGGACCCAGGCTGTGCCTGCGGGGAGGCAGGTACACCCCTGGGGCCCCGCTGGCTGGGACTTTCCTGGCTGTCCTGCGGCCCGTGCCTCAGGGTGTGACAACACCAGCCATGGCCTCAAGCTCGGCCTGCACGGCCCCCCGTTGTGGTTTCCCTTTTGTTGGCAAGTGTATTTGTAAGGTCTCCCCAAACCACGTGGGTCCTGGCGGTCATGAATCACCGTTAACGGGAAGAGGCAAGTTGCTCAAGATAGAGCTGAGTGGCGATGGGGGACTCAGGGTCCCGGTGGAGGCTGGAAAGGGGCCGATGCCCAGGGCTCCCCCGGAGCATCCCGCCGTCAGCTGGCTCCAGCGCAGTGGCCTCTTTAAGCCTGAGGCGCACCAGAGCTCCCTGGTTGCTGGGGCGGCGCGGCGCGCAGAGCGAGCGGCCAGCAGCGGGTGTCCTGACTGGCCGTCTGCCCCCAGCACGCCCTGCGTTTGTTGGCGTTCCGGCAGATCCACAAGATCCTGGGCATGGACCCTCTGCCGCCCCCCAAAAGCAGGCTGGGGGCGCGCTTCCGGAAGAGGCTGCGGGAGGCAGGTACCGAGGCCCAGAAGGGTGAGGTCCCCAGGAAGCAGGGCCGGCAGGGGGGAGAGGGGCCCTCGTGAGCAGCCTCCCCCTGGAGCCGACCCCCCGGCTCGTCCTCACCACAGCCGCTTCATCCCATCGCTGGACGCCGTGTTTTCCTTTCCGGAATGACCCGTGGGTTTCTTTAAAAACACTTGTGCTTAAATCCGCCTCGAAATCACATTATCCCTGGTGAGGGCTGCCTGGGGCAGCACCCAGCACCCCAAGGCCTGCCCCGCCCCGCAGCGGGATAGAAGGGGCAGCACGGCGAAACCCTGACATTGCTCGCCAGCTATGAGCTCCCCCCGCAGCCCACCAAGTGTGTGGGCTTCCAGAACGCTCCCCATAGATGCCCCAGCCCTACATGGACTTGAAATCACGGGGACAGGCCCGGGGGAGCCGGGGGGTGTGGGCCGAGCCTGAGGGCGCACCCAGGCCAGGTTCCCTGGGTCCTGGGCCTAGCCTGCCTCAAACACCCCCCCAACCCCCATCCTGGAGACGCCCCACCTCCAGAGCTCTGCAGGGCCTGAGCTGGCCTCTCTCTGGCCAGCGCCCACCCTCAGGGAGGTGGGGGGGGGGCCGGTGGTGGTGAGGGTGCAGGCTGGGCACGCCCCTGCCCCCCAGAAACGTCTGCGACCCTGAACCACCGAGTGCCTTCTACTTAAATCGGGAGCTACTCTGTCACTCCTCATGCCCCACCCCCACCCCCCGGTGCCCCGGGTCTGGGGTCCGCGCCTGGTGCAGGAGCACAGGTGGACGAGGGCCCCCCGTGCCCCAGCTTCCCTGCCAGCTGCCCCCCAGCACCAAAGGAGAAGGTCCGTCCTTGGACCAAGGCCATCTGTGGTCGGTCAGTTGATTCCTTCAGTTTCATTTCTTACTTAGGGGACAGTCTGAGTGTGGCTTCGTGTCTGACCCAAAAGTTTGAGTGGGCAGGGAATAAACAAATAACGTCTCATGGTGTGGACTGTGCAGTCCTTGCTTGGGGTCCTAGATTCCCCGTCCCGCCCTCCTGCCACCCCCTCAGGGCTCCGGGCGGGGGTACCCAGCCGGCCAGCATTTCCCTCTGACACCCAGGCCGTGAGTGTGAACACTGCACTGCCCAGAGGCTGCGCCCCCACCTGTTGGTCTCCAAGGTCATTCCCACCCCAGGGTGCCCTGGGGACACTACCCAAGAAGCATTCATCTTGCACAGGCCCCACGACCACTCAGGGAGCCCGTCCTGGCCTGGTCCTGGAAATGACCATCATCGGGAAGGCTGGGGGCCCAGAGGGCTTCCTGGAGGAGGAGTTGGCCAAGCTGAGTTGGTGGGGAGCTCTCTGCCCGTAGGTCCCCTATCAGGAGTTCTCCAGAGTTTTCCCAAATCCTCACTACAAACCTCGGGGAGTAGAGTGGGGTTCAGAGGGGGAGACGAGTCACCGCTGAGCTTCAAGCCCCCAGGGTGTCCCCAGGCAACGGGTGGGGGGCGTGGGCCTCCAGTGGGGGTGCACCCGTCAGAGCACGGGCTGGCTGCACCCAGACCAGGCCGGGGAGGTGGCCAGGACCCTGTTCTCAGTCCCTCAGGCAAGCGAAGCCCTGCTTAGTTCTCATGGGGGCGTTATCGACTGGAAACAGGAAGCAGCTGGCCAGTGCCTAACCACCACTACCTCCCTGGAGGGCCAGCCCCTCTCCTCTGCCCCCGCGGCCCCGGGTGCCCTTCCTGAGGGAGCGGCTCCCTGCCTCCTCCAGGCACCCCAACAATCCCTAGGAGTCAGAGCCAGCCCCTCAGCTGGTCCTGGCTGCGGCCACGGATGGGGTACAGGGAATGGGTCCGGGGGAGGGTCCCGACATTGTCCACCTCCTGCAGTGGTGGCTCTGCCATTTACCCAGTCCCCCAGGCTGACCACCACCACCACCAGGGAGTCCTCCTGGGTTCCTTTGTGCTTGAGGCCAAGCCATCACTGTCAGCACCACCTCTGCTTGCCACTCACAGTGGTACTCTGCTCCTTCAGCCCTCCAGCAGTGGGAGCTCATGATAAAATTCAGGAGACCCTCAAACCCCTACAAGGGCCCCCAAAAGCCCATCTGCCACCCTCTCCCTTTGTAACTCCCCTTCAGACCCACCAGGTGGTATTTTCTTTATATCACACATCACTGATTAAAATGACGTGCCGCCTGCCTTCTCTCAGCGACATGAATCCCCTGTGGGCAGGAAGCACATCCGTTCTACTCACCGTGGTATCCCCAGGTCTAGAACACACCAAGCACGTAGTAGCTCAGTAAGTATGTTACATGCTTGAAACTGTGCTCTGACACCCCAAGAGGAGTCTCACTGTCAGGAACGAGCCTCCTGGCAGCGAAGGTGCAGTCTGTTTCCACCGCATCCCAGGAGACTTGTGATGGTTTGGGCACGGGCTCGTGCTGAGGCCGGGCCATGGCACGGAAGGATGCGGGAAGCCCCGTGTCCTGCTGCCATGACCTGCACCCACGTGCCCACGGACCCACTTCCTCCTTCAGATCCCGGCAAGGGGCGGCTCGGGGCCACCTCATCACCCACGGGGCTGCTGCCCCCACCCCTGGCTCCTGGGGAGGACGGACCGTATCTTCACCACCGGGTGGTCTAAAGCCAGCCCTGCTGACGGAGTTAAATCTTTCCCCCTAGCAACTCTGAGGAAATCAAGCCGCTGGTTAGCGCAGCATCAGGTCCGGATTGGGTCCGTCTAGGCGACTGAGCTCGCTGCCGGCCTGCAGGGCCGTCTCTCCTGATCTTTCCTCCCCAGCCCTCATCCCACCGGCAGGGGACCCCAGAGCCGGCCGGGGGGCAGGCGGGAAGACCGGCGACCAGGCCCCCCGGAGCAGCATCCCTGGACCGCCGGCTGCAGGATGCTGGCAGGCGAGCCCGGTTGCTAGGAGACAGCGGTGAGTGTGGGAGGGATGACGTGGGCAGTGTGGGCAGGGCTGGGGCCGAACCTGGCAGGCAGTCCAGGGAAGACAAAAATGGAAGCCAGCTCCATCCGAGTCCCTGAGAACACTGACACCCATGAACACCCGCTGCGTCCCTGGTTCCAAATAAGTCGCACCCCAGGGGCACAGGGAGCATCCCCAAGGCTTTTGGGGGGAATGTCGGCTCCATCTTCTCCCCGGTTGCCTCTTAATTTGGCTGCCGGGCCTGAGATGTTTCAGGTAAGCAGATTACGATTCTGCTGAGTGGACATGCTGGAGGCCCCATGCTTCTCCTACGGTGGAGAAGGCAACCTGGGTTGGGGGGTAGTGCCCTGTCGATCTCTGTTCAAGTTCTGCAAAAAAAAAAAAAAAAATACTGCGATACGGGTTCTTGCCCCCCCCCCCCCCATTACCAGCATCCACAGAGGCCCAGTGGTGGACACGCCCCAAGTGCCCATCAGCAGATGACTGGACAAGCCCATGTGGCCCACTCACCCACACGCCAGAATATTACTCGGCTCTAAAAAGTTAGGACGTCCCGCCACCTGCCACCACGTGGACGGACCCGGAGGACAGTGTGCGCAGTGACAGAAGCCAGACACAGAAGGACGCGTCCTGCGTGACCCCATCACAGGGGTTCCCCAGAGGCATCCCGTCCACAGAGACAGAGAGTAGATGGTGGGAGCTGGGGGTGGGGTGGGGGCAGGGAGTCTGTGCTTCACGGGGACAGAGCTTCAGTTTGGGGACATGGAAGGTTCTAGAGACGGGTAGAGGAGTAGGTGCACTACTGTGCACGTGTTTGACGCCGCCGAGCTGAAGACGGTGAGTTTTATGTCTGTTTTAACGCACCAGAGAACCTCAGCGCTTTGGGTTTTCCCATTACAAAACATTTGGAAGTTTCAGAAAAATGAAAGTGTGGAAACGAGGCCGAGTACTATGGGCACCCCGTGTTTCCTTCCGTTCTGGTCTCTCACGCTCTCTTGGTAGCGGGCAGACTCTTTGTGCCATTCTGATGCCTGCTTTTCTTCTCACGACGCTGTCTCCACTCTGATTCCTCCTTGTTCTCTGTGTGCATAGGCTTTTTCCAATTTAATTCTTCCACAGACCTTACAACATGATTTTTTCACTGTGGTAACATACACATAATATACAACTGACTGCTTTATGTCAAAATGTACAACTCAGTGGTTTTTGGTACTTTCGCTGAGATATGCAACCATCACCACTATCTATTTGCAGAACATTCCATCAGCTCAAAAAGAAGCCTTGTCCCCATTTCCTGTTACCCTCCCCTTCCTCAGCTCCCTGGCACCACGAGCCCCTTCCCGTCTGTGGAGGAGCCTGTTCCGGATGTTTCACGCACGTGGACTCACACCCTATGTGGCCTCTCGTGTCTGGTTCCCTCCCTGAGCATTGTGTGTTCAGGGCCCGTCCTCGGGGCGGCGGGTGTGGGCGCCTCGCTTCTGCTCGCGGCCGAGGGACATGCATGTGTAGACCATGTTTTATTTATCTGTTCATCTATTGATGGACATTTGTTTTTCTTTACCACTTTTTCGGCTACTAGGAAGAGATGTCATTTTTTTTTTTATAATGTTTTATTTATTTCTAGGAGAGAGAGAGAGAGACAGTGTGAGCAGGGGAGGGTCAGAGAGAGAGGGAGTCACAGACTGAAACAGGCTCCAGGCTCTGAGCTGGCAGTCAGCACAGAGCCCTACGCGGGGCTCGAACCCACAAACCGCGAGATCATGACCTAAGCGAAAGTCGGACGCTTAACCGACTAAGCCACCCAGGCGCCCCGAAGAGATGTCATTTTTAATAGATGCATAAAACCTCACAAAATTAACGTATCCTAATCTGCTTAACCATCCCCTACATCTGGACATTTAGATTATTTTCAAGTTATAAGCCACAACGCAGCAAACGTGCTCTCTTGCACAGTTGGGGTTCTATCCCTCCCACAGATATCCAAAAATGGAACCTCTAGACCAAAGGGCATGGGCACTGAAGGCATTTGAACCTTCCATGTGCAAGATTGGGATCCATCCGAAGCTTGCCGGCTTCCCTCTTGTTGTAAATGAAGGAGTCTCCTCCCCCAAGTCAGGACTGTCTTCTCATCTCCAAAATCTTGTCTTCGCGTGGACATGAGTCTAGCAGTTAGGTTTCATTCTGTGATGTCTTGTATCCCATGCTGCTGTTTTAGTTTCTTTTATCCAACCCACGTTTATTGAACACCTAGCATGCGCCATGGGCCTTTGTAACTCATGTGCTTCCCTGTGTCTGCTGCTGAGAGTGTTGAAATGTAGTCAGTATTCAGTCAGCAAGCACTCACCACCTTCTTTGGGAGGACCTAGAGATGAACCAGAAACTCCCTTCATGCAGTGAGGGTGACTCCAGGCTCTCGTCCCACCGTGGCCCTTGAACGTACGAGCTGGGGGTGTCAGGACCGTTCACTTCGCCTCCCCGAGCCTCTATAACATTGAATCAAAACTAGCAGCGCCAGCCTGGCAGAGCCGGGGAAGAACCCAGTAATAAAATGGATTCCCTAACACTTGCTGCACAGAAAGCTTCAGCCTCAGGGACACAGGCATGGCGGAGGGCAGGTGTGAAGATGGAAACTGGCAGTCAAGGTGAAAGTCACACAGGAAACCATGACCCCTTCAGCTGCCAGAATATCAGCCGCCAGGCTGTGAGAAAGGCCCTGTGATGTCACTGGTGTTTGGGGCAGTGGCCAGTGCCTTGTACTTGACCCAGAGCGAAGCTGCCCCAATGGCAAGGAGCGTCCTGCCAGCTCTATGGCACACGCCTCATAAATGTTAGCTAGTGAGAGACTAAAACCCAAAAAGGGGAGAAGGAAAGTAACTTGGAGGAAAGAGACCATGAGAACAGAAGAAAGCAGTTGCCGAAAGACCCTTATGTAGGTTGTCCTCAGCTTGTAGATGATGTGATGGCCAAGAAGCAGGTTTACACTTGCCTTTTGAAAAAGAACATTCAGGGGCGCCAGGCTGTCTTGGTCAGTGGTCATGCCAGTCTTGACCT